CCCCCCCCCCCCCTTTCCCCTGATGAAACGAAAACAAGAAAGGGCCACAAAAACAACCAAAACAAAGCAAAAAAACAAAGCACGCAATAAGAAATGGGGCCCGGTTAGCGTGGAGACGGACTGAGTACGAAGGTTGCAGTTTGAAGCTGCAGGACAACAGAAAAAGATTTGCCGCATGCGGCCCAGCGAATCTGGGAATTCGCGAGGAAGTTTCGCCACTCGCTCCGAAGTTTCCCTTGGGATTGTTGAATGACATACCGGCTCTTTGGGAGCTGTCTGGACTTGATACTGTACGATACGATAAGTCCCGATCAGCGAATTTCGTGGGCCCAATTCATTTGATTCTTCAAGCATCTGTTCCGTGATACCATAGCTGTTCATAATGGCCCATACCTAAACAAAAGTTCGGATTTTCTTTTGAGTAGTATCCTCATCTTTTGACTGCTTACCTTCTTCGAAATCTCCGATTTCTTTTCATTCTCATCCTCTTCACAGGTGCGCAAATTGAGATAAGTGGAAGGAAATTGAGATCCTCGTAACCAAATAGATCTCTAGAACACTAAAGTGGATGCAGCTCTGGTAATATGTTTTAAAAATGACGACGACTATGTACGATGAATGGCAACGCAACTTCATACTATGGGTACCACTTTATGAGGATCAAGAATGACTACCATTGGTAAAAATTTATGGGGAATAAGCAAAGCAAAAATATTCTGCTGATGAAAAAAAGATATAAATGTGTACCCTTATGTCATCAATTTTCGGCCTCTTGTAGGGATCCATTGAAAGCATACTCTCGATAAGCATCCGAGACGAATGCTCAAGATATAACGGTAAGGTGAAACTGCCTTGAAGTATCACCTAAAACAGCGCAAAAGGTGTCTTCCACATATCCAAACCTTAGAATTTTCCACATATTCAAACAAAAATAGAAAGGCGACGGCAAGTGGAATTTCAGTAGGGTAAGGGATGTAGAGCCCGCAAAGCATGAGTGTGGGTTCGAGACCGTCTGAGGCCGTTGTTTTGCTTATAATTCGCCGGTGGTCTAACAATATTTTTCTGAAAATGAAGTTCACTCACTTCGAGTCACTTGAAATGGAGATATATCTAGTTCTAAATCGAGAATAAACGCTTCTGCGCTCTCACGTGTTGCAAGGGGGATATTGCGATGCTGTTTAGCAGTCAAAATATTTTTGCAATCTGTCTTTATGAGAAGGAGCCTTGGGCTACTTGCCTTTCACTTCTTTTTGACACCCTTCAGCCTTTGTGTTATTCACAGGTGAGGTCAGTAGTGATACTTGGCGTGTACTTAATGCTAGGTGGACCCACCGAGTATGCATTCGAATTTGAGACCAGGTTGAATTACTGTCATCTGATCATATTTCGGCTTTTTCTCCACAGTGGCATAGATATGTGTATGATAGTAATCTGGACACTCACCGATTTCAATTCTGGTACCGTCTCTCCACGGAATGGCGTGACACCGATCAACATGAAGTGAAGTAACACACCCAACGCCCAAATGTCGACTTTGGGACCATTATAGCTTTCGTCACTGGAAAACGTAAGTTTAAAATGATGCATGACATAGACAGTGTCTTATGTATCTATGAGTGATGTAATCATGACTGAATAAATAATAGCATTGTCGTGCATTACTCCAATGATAGCGCGGTCATAGGTCTCTTCTTATAAGTATGGCATCACTGCGGCAACATTGTGGTCCCGAGCCCTTACAACTAAACTGGACATGCAACGGGCAACTATTAAATTGGTTGGCGTGTTTTTTATTCCTTCCTCGTTATAGCTTCAGCCCAACGGCAGTTGCTGCTTCATGGAGATTATGTTGCTCTGAGTCTCCCAGCAATGAATGGCTCTAAGCCTAAAGATTTACGTCCACCCAACAACATCTATGACAACGGAGTTTGATATCAAACTCACCGAAACAACTCAGGTGCTGCATAAGGAGGACTACCACAGAATGTCTTGAGCTGCTCAGCTGCTGACGGTAGCATACAGGAAAAACCGAAGTCTACAAGCTTCACGACTCCAGGGGCTGAGAACATGATGTTTTCGGCTTTGATATCTCGATGAACAAGGTTATTCTTGTGCTGAAATCGAAACTTGTTACAATGAATAAACTCTCCATCCTTACTTTAGTGGAGTTAAAAGAAAAGGCTAAGTTTGAAGGGGAAGTTAGTACAGTACAGTTAGTACAAATCGTAAATTTCGCAGTCTGCTCCGAAACAGCTAGTGCAGAAGTCAAGCTTCGTTGATTCGATTACGGACCCTCCAGCAATGACAGAATTTGTAAGCGGATCAGTGGACAGGTGGGTGAGATGAGCGAGACGGGCTCAAGATGTAAGAACGATTCGAAAAGTGTTGGCAAAGATGGGTCATGGGTTACCTGTGAGAGGATAAGCGAGCCCTTGATTAGGTGATGCTGCTACAAACATCAAAACTCTGAACCAAGTGTCGTCCTATATGGGAAATCAGGGGAGGTTGAGTACTCATAGAGAAGGAGGGGTATAGGGAAGACAATCAAAAAAAGGTAGACCTTATGTTCGGGTGGAGATGAATTTTAGGGGTAGGGTACTAGGATTTTGAAAGATCATAAAGCGTAACAATAGACGCTGAAGTTTTGGAGATAATTTGCTATGAGAAGTGAAATATGAAGCATTACCATATGTGAGACAGCGGCTACAANTAGACCTTATGTTCGGGTGGAGATGAATTTTAGGGGTAGGGTACTAGGATTTTGAAAGATCATAAAGCGTAACAATCGGTAAATAGACGCTGAAGTTTCGGAGATAATTTGCTATGAGAAGTGAAATATGAAGCATTACCATATGTGAGACAGCGGCTACAATCTGTGCGAACAGTGGTTTTGCTTCGTGTTCTGATAGTTTCCCTCGTTCGTGAACGTATGCGTAAAGTTCACCACCACCTGCATATTCTAACACCAAATGTGTCCTTGTGAGTGTTTCCACGCACTGCAAGTTCAAGATTACTGGTCTCATTCAAGACGTTTTTGTCATAAACAATTCACCTCGAAAAGTCGGATGATGTTGGGATGGTGCATTCGTTCCATGGCTTTAATCTCCCTTTCGAGTAATCGCTGCGCTTTTGTATCCATTTTTGTTCGATCCATAATTTTTACGGCAACTTTTTCTAAATTTCGGAAAGTAAAACTTTTTTGACGAGTTCATCATTTGTCATGGGACAGGCCATGCTGTTCCTTCTCCATTATACTGCATAGTGATGATTGAGTGAGACATCGACAGACTTTACACCGGGCTCATTATACAAAACAAAGGGTTGCTTGAAGGCAGAGTTTGCATTCACATAGTTTTTTGATCTCTACCTTTTATAGACCTCTGCCTCCCAAGGTTGACTTAAGGCACGCTGTCAGGTTGAAAATGGCCAGTATAGGACGTTATAAGGGCTTCGAAACCGGCTTACCCAAGTATGTATTCGCCCAAGGCGGATGAGTTTCTAAGCTGTGCAAAGCGTTAGAGGTTGCAAAATTCGCACCAGGACCCACACCTTGCACACAGGCAGCGCATTGCAGTCAGCTGCATGCAATGGCGGGGGCCTCTGATTATTTCGTCCAAATATTCCTTCCTGTGGCTTTCTTCGTGACATCCTCGTCCAACCCCTAGTATGTATAACTTCTTTATTGAAGCCTCACACCTCTCTAAATACGCCGACTGTCGTGTTTCCTTCGCCACTTTTGTTCTATTCTAGTCCATCACTTCCATAACTTTTCAAAAATTACATACCTCTAAATAATGGTAAACTGTGCCTCTGAATTTTCGAGACTCTTGATATTCTGATAAGTTTGCCAGCTGTCACGTACCCTTTTCAAGGAATTTTTCTGGAAATGCGACAAAAGAAGGGTTTCTTTCCTTTATTAGAAGGGAATCTGATTCGATAAAGTATTCAGAAAAAGGAAACCGTTCATAAAAGAATCTCAAAGGAGAGCATTACTGCAAAAATTCATCGACATTTGAGGAGGCCCTTTCCCAGTTAGGTCTTATGCCGAAGTTGTGTTGGATAGGATTACTTTTTAAGCAAAGAGGCATGTTCGCGCTTGGATCTAACAGGGTCATGGCTTTACCGATATGAGTAGTTCTCCTAACAAAAAACCGGGTCAATACGATGTACTGGCTCATTGCTTCCTGTTCTAATCACTTCGAGCTTTCTATTCTAGTTTGTATCTACGTTTAATTCACTAAGAAGAATATTTGTATTGCTGAGAATTTCAGAAATAGCTAACAGTCGCTCCTTTCGACACCCGTTTCCGACGTTTCACAAAATCGTGGTACTGAATTACTCCTACATCTTATCCTATTCAGTGAATTGGCCTAAAATTCCTTTGTCGGTTTAACATGCAGTTAATTTCCTTGCATTCAGATTGAAGAAAAATAACTCGCATCTGAATTTTTCGTGGGTATATTCACTTTGGGTTGCCTAGGCTTTAAGGCCTCTATATTGGTTTCACACGAAAAACTAATCAGTAACAGGCAACTTAGTTTTAGTTCACAGTCAGTACCATAGCGTCAAATAACAAAACTTACCCTTGGTGAGCACATGTATTCCTAATTTCACTTTGGAGAAATTTCCGGCACCCAGCTCTTTGCCTAGTCGATAAAAGCCTATTCGTTTCCCCAGTGCTACCTGAAAACATCGTAATTCGAATTAACGAACGGGCAGGTCACCCTAGGAACGTTCAAATGATGCTAGTGCCAGAAGAGAATATTCCGGAGAACGAGCATCAATCTTTCTAACGATAAATTTGGAATCACGAAGACTTAGAAACATCAATAGTACCTCTTTCTGATACATAGGGTCTACTGCCAACATGTGAAGGGTCCTATCATACAGGCTCATCTGTGCAAGCTCCTCAAGACGGTCGTTATTCAGAAGTGACTGGGAGGAGACCGTTCGGGTGAACGTGTCTTCCCGAGGCTGAAACACTTGATCATTAATCGGCTTCAGAAAAGAATCAAAGCACTGTAATCTGTCTTACGTAGCGTGGTTTGTGTGTAGGCGCCTCATCATGGCTCCTCCTAGTTTCCTTGAACTTCCCGACTTTTCCTTTAGGTTCCTCCTCCTGCTCTTCAACCTCGGAATGTTCACTTTCTTCCTAAAACTAGTTACATTTCCTTCCGTTCTTTGAATCGGTTATGTTCTTGAGTAGTTCAACTCACATGGATGGACACATAAGTGGGTGGTTCACTCCGTACAACTCGATCGTCTGCTTTCACGCGTGCCACCATCATGCTTTTAATCTGAGATCAGTACAATTTTCTTTCTGCTTTATGAAGTCGATTAGCGAGTCACTCAGCACGGAAGCTATCATAAGGAAATGACGAGTTTGGAGGAATTCACTTCCTCAATGGTAATTACCAGAAGATCATCTGGACTTGCTAGTTGAGCAGAATCGATATGGTAGTGGCTCCTTTTCTAACTTCAAGCTCCTCTCCAGCGAGCGCAGAGCTTCAAGGCTAGAAATACTCTAGCTCCCAATCAGAACTTCCCGGAGTTCAGATCCTCCCGCGGTCGCTTCACTCCTTATCCCCTGTTATATTCTTCTGATTGTTAGATATAGCGGAGCAATTTCGGGTGGTTTAAGCATCACATTTTTTCTGCATGGCAGCCTTTCAATTTGGTTCATTTCGAGATATCGCGCAATGCCAAGAAAGGATAGCTAAACCTTTGAGGAATCACTTTCGGCCAGAGTAGGGGATTTTCGGATACTGTAAGGAGAGGCTGATGATGCTTGGCTGGCAGCTCTTCAGAGAAAGCCGCTTTATCGAGTCCAAGCCTCCTTCAACCGTTGCACTCGAGGGAAAGTGACTTTGGCATTTCACATTTTCACATCACGTCGGAGAAAAACCTTCATTCCAATGCTTACAGTGATTAATGCGGTCTTCAAGGTTTTCCCTTACTGTATCAAAGAGAGAGGGTTGTTTAAAAAGGTTCTCATTGAGACCCGTACAAAGAAGCGATCAGAATCAGGAGATCAGCTCGGTCAGGGAGGGTAAAGAGCTTGAAAACTTATTAGGACCGGTACGTTCAGGGCAATTTTTAGGAGGGTATTTCTTTATGAGGAACTGGCAAACCGAAAATATTTGGGGTAACTTATTATAAGTTTATGGTGGAAATAAAAGTAAATAATAATGAAAACTAGTAAGTAAAGAAGATTTCAAGTAAATGCAATAGGCACAGCAATAACCAGTAGTCGCAAAAGTAGGTCGATGTTGTTTCATGATGTAATGGATAGAGAAAACCTTCAACTGAGATCTCACAAAAATTGGACCAAGGTGACAAAGTAATGTAACATCTCGAGTTGCTTGAGGGCATTCCTCTCGACATTGCCCGATTTCAAAATGTCAGGTTTTCTCACCCACAAAATTTTTTATTTAAGACGACATCTACGTAAGTGTTCAAGGGAAAAACAACTCAAAGCTGTAGACTAAGAAAGATTAGCATAAAAATTTTCAGATGGTTTCGAGGGTTATAGGAAAGAAATACATCGAACAGCCATCTAGAAAGTTCTTAGAACTTGAGGATTACACTTTTAATACAAATGAAATTCTCGG